ATTAGGGAACAGTTTGTTTTTTCTTTCATTATATTTAACTTTTTTTTTGAAAGTTAACCAAAATATTTCCCTTTGAACGGAAGCTGTTATTATATGATTGCCACAGTAGCAACAATGCATTTCCTAGGTGTTTTTAAAAATGGGAAGTCACACTTTATACAGTTCTGTAATAGAGTTTCAGAATTGTGTATGTGTGTGATTGTTGCTTTCCTCCAAATAAACATCTACAGGACTTTAAAATGGAATTATATAAAAAACTGAACTACCTGAGGAAATGAAAATGAAGGTGGAAAAGAGTTTTCTTTTTGAGAAAAAGGTGGCGAAGAACTGGCCAACCACAACTGCAGACGCTCACCCTGGGCCGTTTCTCATTCAGAGAATCCCGCCCCCTTTCCTGGTCTCCCCTCCCCCAGAGTCCAATCAAAGGATTAGCCTCCAGGTTTGGAAACAACAGCAGCTTGAGTTAAAGGTTTGAGTTTTTTTTCACTCCCCCTTCTTGTGTTTAAACGCAGGAACTAGAGAAGTCTTTGGCTAACTGGACTCAGAACTTCAAAGAACTTCACACTATGAAGACCGACTTAACTCAGCACATTCTTGTGGAGGATGTGATGGTTTTGAAGGAGCAAATAGAGCATTTGCACAGACAATGGGAGGACCTCTGCTTAAGAGTAAGTCAGTTAACTGCAGGGCACGGCTGTTGTGGAGTTTATTGAAATGTCTCCAAAGGCCAGACAAAGTAGAAAAGAGCTTAATTTCACTGAACCGGAGGCCCTTTTCAGTTGGAGCCCAGGCCGGCTGCTGTGCCTTTAGACAGCAGCAACATGGTTTAGCAGATTTGACCCTTTGTTTCTCCAGCACTCAGTGCTGGGACTTTGCACATTCTTAATGAGCTTTTTAAAAAATCATCTGGGGAAGGAGGGATTGCAATTGTGAACAGATGTGTGGGCTCTGCTCTCTGTCTTGCGTAGGTGACGAGTACTAATCGGAATATTAGAATCAGGACTCACAGAGATCTGGTCCATCCTTTGAGCAGAATCTCGGCAGTTTCTCTTTGGTGCCCCACAGACAGAAGTCGTGCTTATGCCTGCACGGGGGCACTTTATCTGAAAACTCTGCATTGACTTGCAACCCAATATTTATTTCAAGTAGCTGTTCTTTTAGAACTGTAAAAGAACTGATTAACTGCTACATTTAGTATCTCAGCAGCTCACTGTGATCAGGGTATTCTACAGGAAGTGTTTGTGATAAGATCGGGGTGGAATTAAAGAGTGCTAATAGATCTTTGTTTTAAGAATTCTAAGAAAAATAAATTCCTTAATCTCATTTTTGTGAATTAAGAATAGATGTATTAAGAGTTGGAATTCAGACACTTTTTGAATGCATTTTAATAAAGTAAAAACATTCTTCCTTCTGGGTTTTAGTTTTAGTATTCACAATGTACCCTACTTTTGAATGTCCTTTATAAATTTTCATTCAATTTTTGTATAATAGAAAATGTGAAAAGTATCCTAAAAGTTAAGCAGCAAAGACTGGGGCCCAGATGTTCTCGATTATTATTACCATTATGAAAATGACTCTGTGCAAAAGGCCAAGATTTTTTGAAGCTGAGATGCCCTGAGGAACAGAAACACAAAACTTGTTTGGGGGGGTATCGTTCTTTGCACCTTCTTAGCACATTTGGCTGGGTGGGTGTCCCTGCATTAGACACTTTCTCCTCAGTCTGAGAAGAGCAGAGGGTTTTTTTGTACATAACAAGAAAATCTCTGGGAGCTAAACCTTCGTCTCACCATCTGTCTTAGCTATCCCTTTTAACTTTAAGAGTCTAAAGATTTTTAAGACCTGAGAAGACTTTTGTACATTTAGAAAGTCAGATCTGCATTCTTTATATTTATTGACGTATCAGATTTGAACCCTTTAAGGAGGAAGACCCTTCGCCAATGTCAGCTTAGGTGTTGTTTATGCATAATGGAGCACTGTACTGTGTATTGTCATCCTGCTTGCTGCAGACCATTATTTGGTCCCATTGCCATGATTTCTATCCAGAGCTATAGTACATGATGGGAAGGTGAATTGATGAGATGAGTGCATTTTTTAATCTTATTTTACTTTTTTTTGTTCTGAACTACAACACTAGAATATTTAAATGATTTTGATTTTTGTGGTCCATTTGCTTACAAATGTTAGGTTTATACTATGATCTGTAATACAGTTTAAATTAAATAGGCAGGACGTTGGCCTTAAGTAGCTATAAAGATGATCATTTTTTAAAAGGGAAAGGATTTGGGTCATAAAGTTATAAATTAGCATGTAGCAAGCAGTTAGTAAATGTATGTTAACAAGGAACAAGAAATTTGGGCAATGTTTAATATATTCATTTAACCTTTCCTTTTTCTAATTTCTAATATA